AGTAGTCGTCGTCGTAGTGTAGTAGTAGTAGTAGTAGTAGTAGTAGTAGTAAGGGGAGTTGTGGGAAGCCATGTATAGGGGACTTTTTTTCACACTGAACATAGTCCTGTTTCCCAGATGCCGGGGCAGTCCTTTCAAGGGTGTTTGGCTTCTTTCATGAGTCCGTTGCAGGACAGATGTTTCTGCCCGCAGAAACCCTGAAGCGGTGTCTCATCAGGAAGTGTACGCGTAACGCGGAGGGAGCGGGGATAGGAAGAGAGACTTGAAGATCAGTGCGCTATAGTGTGCTGGAAACCCGAGCCTGGGGACTTTTTGTTGAGGCCAAAGCCAATCTCGCAAGGCGGCTCGCCACCTCCCAAAGGCACAGCGGGGGCGACGGTTTTCGGTTGACCTGTGACTCGTCGAATAGTGGTCCTCTCGCAATTATTCCCCAGTGAGAGCGTGTTTCTGTCTCGAAATAGTCAGTAACTGCACTTCGGTGGGGGGCCTCATGGGGCCTTACACACTAATAGCCATACACCGCGCCCATGAGCCTTCTGGAAATCCTGGCTTTGAAGGTGCGAAGCGTCAAGGCTGCTGGGCAGTTGGTGCCAGGACCACTGGCAGCTCCTATCTAACGCTTACCGAAAGACTTCGCCCTGCAAGCACTTGCGACTAAATGCAGCATAAGAGTATAGCACGGTATGCATGGTACAGTACAGTACAGTCTAATACAGTCTAATTTAGTATAACATAGGAGACCAGAGTATAAGATAGTATAATATAGCATAATCTTGTATAGCATAGTATGATTAATCTAGTATAGTGCAGTGATATACGATTCCAAGAACATTACATAGCCTAATGTATTCTAACGTAGTATACTGCGATATAACATAATGTACTGGAACGGACTAGAAATGAACAGAGTAGAATAAAGCATACTACAACATAATATGAAAGTACAGCATGACATAACATAGCAAAGCACATAATATTATGTTCTGGAGCGTGTGCCTGCGTGGAGGCCTGTTTGTCTCGAGCAAACAAGCCTTCGCTGCGGTTTCTGATCACGTTTTAACTGCTTTTCGGTCGATACAAGTATGTGCATGTAGCACGCTGTGAACAGACTAACTAAGTTTGCTTCATGTCATGGCATGTTCATCTCGTCCTCGTCGTGGCACATTCCCTGGTCAGATTGCGAGAGAGAGATATTATCCACGGGCAATGCGTATCGGAACTTAACGGTACGATGGACAGTATTGAAAGGACCCTGCTCGAAACAGCCGTGTGCGCCGGGATGCGTCCCAAAGCAAGGAGGCGGGGATGTGGTAGAACGCAAAGCCTGACCCACTCACTCTTCCACTCCATGTTCCCGGATTGCGCGAAGCAGCATTACAGCATTACTCGGGCAACTTACGCAGCTGGGGCGGTTTGCTTGCACATGAATATCGTGCACCAGACAAGCCCAAATGCTGCAAACGCCAACTGCATCATCTGACATGACGGCATGCTGCTACGGCCCTTTGTTGTGTGCAGGTGGGGGTGCTGCTGGACACTCACCGGTGATTTGTTCGCCTACTCCCGCTCTGGCCACTTGGTCGCGGAGCTCATCTCCGGAAGTCGTCTGAAAGATTCGCAACCATCTGCGCAGAACAAGGATTCCAGTTGCTCACGGTGGACAGTCGGGAACGGATAGTAATCCTGCTGCGACGGGTATGATGGGTGATTGAACCAGAAAGTTCGATTGATAAGGCATAGCAGAGCGATCCAATCTGCCATCCGAGGACAAGAAAGCCAAGAACTCGAAGAAGGCAGTTGGAGCTCCCCCTGCTCGCAAGGGTCCAGAGCCGCTGGCCCAGGCCATCAAAACGGCGGCGCCGCTTAATTGAAAAACATCCCTTTCTGAAAAGTCTTTGCTGCCGAAACCTATAGACTGCCTGAGGGACAGTAGCATCAGCAGCATTGAATGATCAATTTAGGGTTTCAAGTCAGACAGTTTCAAAGATCAACATACTGCCCATGGACCCCCACTCCCGCTTTCAGTTCCCTTTGCAGCAAAGGAAGCACCAGTATGTCATCCTGAAAGACTTGTTGAGGTTGCCTAATCCCTTAATAGACCCTAAACTATGTCACTGCCGAACTGGTGCTCGAACCTCGACTGGCCTGCCGGAGAGTGAGTGCCGAAACTGAGCCGCCGATAGACAAATCACGCCGCACTCCATCTTGGCGAAGATAGGTGGTGATAGTGTAAACGCAGAAGTACCCCCCCCCCTTAATGACCAGCCTGATGACCAAGTCATTCATCCACTTTAGTATTAGTGCGCGTTACAGAGGAGACAAATCTGCGACAACTATAATGTTTGGCGTTCTTGTGGGACGTCATATGGTGCAGTTCGTAAACGGTCAACGTACAACGGCGCGTGGAAGAGAACGTGCCAATCACACACATCCTATTGTTGCATTGTTGTCGCTGCTACTTCTGCTGCTGCTGCTGCTCGTGCTGGACTTCTACTACGACTACCATCACCAACAAGACGACAACGACGACAACTACCGCTCCTGTTGCGTCTCCTCCTCCAACTTCCTCGTCCTTCTGTTGCCGCTGCTGCGGCTGCTGCGGCTGGTGTTTTTGCTACTGTCACTGGGACTTCCAGGCTACCCGTGCCATTGATGCTGACACTGCTATCGCTCACTACCGCTGCCGCTGCCACGGGAACGGCCAAAGCTGTCAACACCTCCTGCCAGCAATGCTACGGTCGTTTTGGCTCTCGCTCCATTGTTTTCTTGCTTACGTGTGTGTCGCTGGTGGTCGTGCTGGGGGTGGCGACGGTGGTTGTGAAGAATGGTTTTTGCGATGTGTCCAAGAGGTTACTGTCGCTGGGGTGCAAGATCATCCAAGGTCATGCCAGTCGTGTAGGTCATACTGAGTCATACTGCCATGCAGACACGCACACCTCAGACTCCAACTAACCTGCCTTTGGTCAGCAAAGGATAGCGCTGCAGAAGGCCCGCACCATGGCTGGCACTGGAGATATAGCGCGACTACATAGTAACTAGATCATTTGCACGATGGTGCCATCGTGGCAATTATATAATATATCCAGTGTAGTTGAGATTGTAGTCCTCGTTGTGACGGCACAGATGCAGGTGTGGCTAGCTTGGGAGCCTGACTCTTATATCCCATGGACCCAACTACAAGTATTTCAGGCACTAAGTGGAGGGGAGAGGGCAACAGCGTGAGTTCGGAACTGCTTGTAGTTTGTAGCTTCTGGCTTAAACCGGTCCTGGTGGAGACCGTACACGAGTTGACCATGTTCATGGCGGTGATGGCACAAAGTGCAGCGGCCGTACCGGCGATAGCAGCAGCAGTCTTTGGGGTAGCTTCGTATCTGTAGTAAGAACGCAGCTGAGTACCAAATATACAGCAGAACATTGTAAGTCTTGTCATTGTTGTGGTAAGTAGGACGGGGCTGGCAAAGACAGCGATCTTTTCGTAGCGTTCAGATTTCAGATGATAGCTGTGCTGGTAGCGGTGGTCCATACGTTTCATTGTCATTGCGGTTGTTACGAGTTGAATTTTGCTATATAGTCAATGATAGTTAGTAGCAACACAAGTAGTGACCAGGACGCGGAGCAGGAGTAACTTCGTAGCAGCAGCAGCAGCAAGTTGCACAGCTGAGGTATTAAAATCATGGGCATCGTTCCTGGTCTGCCATTTTGTAATCCAAGGAGCCATGATGCCTGCGGTGGACCTCCAGCCAGCACTTGCGCCACCGCTATATCAAAGGGGTCGTTTTGCGAGTCTTGGGCTCGTGGCTTCCCAGTTCATCCTTAGTTGCCTTCCAGTTTTGCTTTTGGCTAACTCACCCCAGATGAGTCTTCTGAACCCTAGAGGCCCGATGCTGGATGTGTCCGACATTGACATCCCCCTTGTCCGTACCACGAAGCATGTGGTGTGTAAGCCCAAATCATAAATCTCGGACCCCAAACCCTGAATCCGATGCTGGGGCGCCGTGGCAATGAGAGTACAGTGCAACCGCAAGTCGCCGATCTCGTACGTTCAACGGAGTTCGCTGCTGTCTCGGCGCATGTTTGTGTGCGGGGGCGGTGCACTGGTTTGCAGCCATTCAGGCACCCGTCTGGTCAACCGATGCTCGGCTGAGTACGTGGGGGTTGTTCATGACTGGTCCAGAAACACTGTTCGTTGTAAGGACTACATGACAGCCTTGCAACGGGCCCCGGTTTACAACAGCCAGTTTAGATTGTCCGGTGGAATTCGCATTTAACGCGCTGCTTTATTCGTCATGCAGCCCTTAAATTGTCTTATCGTGCGATTGACAACTGCGCTACTGCAAGTGTTCCTGGACTGGCAGTATCTACACGATTGCAGCCAAACCGCTCGAACATCCATGCAGCACACTTGTGGAAGTAGTCTGTTGCAGGCAAGTCAATGCCAGATTGCCCGTTTGCCTTTGCCAGCAAACCCTTTGTGCTCTCCCTGGACCAAGGAATTAGAGATGTGGAATTCGTTGGCAAAGCCGAAGTATCAGTGATCCAGCCGTGGACTCGAGGTCCGGGCGACCCACTTGAGTTTTCCGGTGAGGTGTAGGCACGAAGTTGGGGAAGGGGAATAGAAGTGCCAGGGCGCTGAGGAGAGAAAGCTCCTAGCTCCGACACATCGTGATGCACCTCGCCGTGACCCTCACATCTTGGTTACCGGGCCCGAACTGCCTTTCAGGCGCAAGAGCTGCTTCTGTCGAAGTGTCGGCAGGACGTGAAGTGCCTGTCCGACTTTGTACAACATGCACTTTTTCGCATACACTGTCCAGGAGACTATGCCGCACGTGCATTAGTATGTGCAGGAAGGGAATGGGAAGATGGTTTGAGCTGACTTCACGTTCCTCAGAAGACGACCGTAAATCTTGGGCAGGTTGGCGGTCGTAACAAAGCAACGCTGCCAGAGGATTTAGGCTTTTGTCGTTTACGGCTCTAGGGCCCCAGGGTTTATTGTCGAGGGTGTGTCGCACCACTGAGACTGTGTTATGAGGTTTGACACAAGCTTTCCACTTCCACAAATGTCGTGCCAAGCCGTCAAAACTTCCCCAGTCAGCAACGAAGGGAGTTTCCAATGCCTGCATTGTTCGACCGCAGCTTTGCTAATTTTTCGGTCGGTTTGACCAGCTACTTCACGTGAAAGGTATGTCACCACGGTTGACTAGAGTCAGAGTGGCAGCTCGCGTTTGAAGGCGTGGCAAGAATGCCGCGCGACTGGGCACCCGTCGGATGAATTCGAAAGACATCTGGTTCTTCTAAGATGTAGTGATTGAAGAATGCTGGACTCGTCACGGGCCATGCTCTCTTTTATGCTTATTCAGTTGAACTAATTTTGGTCATGCCTGATCAGATTTGTGTGTATTTATTAAAACAAGACAGAAGAACAGGATCCTGAGAGGGAAGCTTGTCTCTGCTTGTGATCGCCATAGCACTAGAAGGCACAACACCTCGACCCAATCTACCCCCCCAAAAACCTAAACCCTAAACCTATGCGCAGCCTTGCCGGCCTTGTGCGAGTGTGAGAGACGAAACCCTAAACCTAAACCCTGAACCCTGAACCCTAAACCCTAAACCCTAAACCCCTTTGTAATTGGCGACAACATGCAGCAGTCTCCAGCCTTCCTCTGTCGTTTCCCACAGAATAACTGCACTCAACCAGGGTTGGGGGTCTGATAGCATTAGACAGCCGATGGGAGTTCTTTAAACTTTTTGGCCTTATATTTTTGATCTACGACAGAAAGTTTGAACTTTTTGGGGCCGGGTTACTGAAGACGCGAGTAGCTTCTGTCCGCATGATGGACCAACAGCCGTTTCTCTTCTGCCCCGCAACCTTGCAGCCGAGTAACCTATTCTGTGGGATTGCATGTGCCACTGCGTCGAATTCGTTGGAAGATGGGATAAAGATGAGCCAGAGCAAACTTGGCAGTGCTTCTTCCACCATCTCACGTGAGATCTGTGTGCTGAAATCCGGAAAATGGGATATATGTGGATACTCCAGTATGAACTGCATTACCACAACGTCTGCCTCCAGGGATGGCTTCGGAAGTTCAGGGACGGGTTGCCCGTTGTGGTTGCCAATATCTGCATCTCTGGGACCGCGACTGATGACAGCTACGTCAGCTACGTACAAGAGAGGTGACCGCTAGATTTTTCGGGCCTATGCCTATGCCTCAAGCACCATTGGTGGTGGTGTTGGTGCTGGTGATGGTGGTCGCGGCAGTAGTCGTGGTAGTGGTAGTGGTAGAGTTGGTTTACTACTGTGTTCAGCACAGCAGATACTGTTCCTGCCGCCTTCGCAACGGTCAACATAGAGTTTTTAAGCAGAGCTGGGACAAGTAGCAGAATCAAATAAATAGAATAGTAGCGGCAGTAGCAGCACCAGCAGTCGTAACAGTAGTCGTCGTCGTCGTGTTCTTGTCGTGGTGGCAGTCGTAGTAGAAAAAAGGCGAACGTGGTAGTAAAAGCAGCCCTATTCCTGCCTTGGCTGCTGTTAACAGCATCTCGGAACAAACAACTTATCTTCGCGCGCAGACTTTATCATCTGATAGTCCCTTTAGTATTGGGCATGTTGCTGTTTCACGTTCATTCATGGTGGAACCAACATACCCCCGACTGTGTAGTGACGCCGACGGCTTCGGCTTCAGGAATCGAGTTGTGGTTGACGACGAGGAGGGTTCAATTAGGAGTAAGATCCCAGAGTGTATGGGGAAACTGTCTTTCGGCAGTGTGCGATGCTGCGACCCACACCATCCTAAGCCCAACCCACGCTGAAAAAAACAATTTAAACCCTGACCCGATCTCAGCCCTTCAGTACTGTAGGCTTGCCGCGCTGGAC